TTTCCAAAAGAGAAGTCCCCCCCCCCCCCCCCTCCTCACGACAAATTTACTTAATTTTTTTCAAACAAATTAACTTTCCTTCCAGAATATACAATATTTACAATAAAACATCGTGAATCTGCCGGTTGTGTCTAATGTCTATTTGGCAGGATTTGAGCCGAAGGCGAAATGAATACACTTTCTCTTTCTCTTTCCCGTCTGTACCCGGATGATACAGGCACGTGCGTTCTTCGACATTTACCACCACCGGTTGAACCCGCAGCCCGACGACCGATAGGATTATCGCGCGATGCACCGATGTCGAAAGTCGAAATTATCCCGAGAGCAGTTGCCGATGCTCTACTCGGCATCTGCTTTGATGTAGCAGCATCAAACGAAGTCGGTAGCGGTTTCGGATTCTCGGAAGACACGGTTACAGTTCCGCGGAGAACTTTCGGCGGGTCCTGACCGATTTCTGGCCGCCCGCGCCGGATATCGCAGACTCCGCTTGGCGTGTCGGCGAAATAGCTCGAAACCGACGTAAGCCGCAATCGCTATTTGGAGTGCTCGATTTATTTTCGTAGCTTCAAACACGAGAGCCGAGTTTCAACTATATTTTAAATCCCCGTACCGCAAGATCAGCTTTGCATAAAGAGAATTGAAGAGCGAAGTACGATGAGAGATACCGTTATATATTCAACTTTAAATCGTGCGAGCTATCAGCGAGTAATGATTTGATTAATGCATGCATATATATGTATGTTCTTACATATTAACGACTTGCTTCTTGTTTTACTTTTTAATGTAATGGTAAACGACAAATAAGAGTTGCATAAACGGTGTTATTACGTGTCGCGTTTCTACGCCATACGATATAACGAAGGCCGGTGAAAAAGTGAATTAACTCGTTGTTGCCGCGACTGATTACGGCCGAGTTTGCAATTAGTAAATTGACTCGCGATTCAGTTGAGTTGTACACGCGAGCATTGGACGAACGAGAGTCGATAAAATAGCCACTATAAATAACAGTTACGTGCAATGCGCGTAAATCACTTCCGTGCGGTATGCGATCGAGATGCGCGAATTAACGGTCTTTCCATCACTACAACCAACAGGTTCATTAGCAGTACGAATGGATGAAACTGAGAATGAGCTTTGTGATTTATTAAAAATAAACATTTCACTGACCTAAAATTATCCTTTACAATTCCTTTTATTAACAAATTTAATATAATATATTACACAGAAATTAAAAAAAAAAGAAAGAAAGAAAACTCGTTAAATTCGAATCAACATTCTTGTCAAAAAAGCAACTTTTTTTCATTATTACAACCGACAACAATTTATTAACACGAATAGACGAAACTGACAATGAGCTTTGAGAGATTTATCAAAAATAAATATCTCACTGGTCTAAAATTATCCTTCGTATAATTCTTTTTATGAATAAATTTAATATATTACATAGAAATGAAAAAAAAACTTCGTTGAATCGGCGAATCGGCATTCTCGTGAGAGAAGCAAATTGTTTTTTTAAACACTCGTACCGTAAATTATTTCTCGATGGACGCCTTGAGGAATGCCTATGGTATGTCATTCGTCGGCATGCGTCGTCTGGATACGTAATCGTAACCTTCGCAGACGCTGCAATCTCTCGTGCGTGCGTGCGTACGTGCGTGCGTGCGTGCCGCGGTCTTATGCGCGCGCCTTAATTGGCTTTACGTTCGTGTACACGAGCCGCCTTATTA